CCCCCCCCCCCAACCCTCCCCAGTTTCTTTCTCCCCCATTACTACCACCTGCACCACCTCTCCCTCGCAGCCTCCACCGTCCACCCTCCCCACAGCCCCAACTTCCACCAAGCCACCTCTCCCATCACCGCAGCTCTCCCTCGCTTCCCCCACCCTCTCTACAGCAAGCCACCACTCCCCTCACCACAACTCTCTCTCTCTCTCTCTCTCTCTCCAGCACCCACAATTTCAAGCCCACCATTATTCCCTCACCCAAAAAAACAAAGGCACACGTTTAATTCCAATTCCAATTCCAACCCAATCAAACCCCAAAACCTACAACAACAAAAATGTATTTTCAGGAGCTGAGACTTCAGAAAAAATGTCGGAGATGGCAAAAATGTCTTAGCCGTTCCCCCTCTCTCTGTTTCTTTGTTGCCTCCACCATCCAAAGTCGCATACCTAGCACAGATTCGAGCGACTGCCATCTGCATCCACATGGATCTGCAACCACACCCAACCCACCCAACCCACATTTCAAATTGACAACTGCGAGAGATCGTGAGTGCAGGGTTCAAATTTGAGGTGGGTTTAGAGGTTATAATTTGAAGTGATGGGTGTCTAGAGAAGATTTGGAGGGAGACGGAGGGAGAGAAGGCACTGTGCGGAGATTGATGGTGGTAAGGCTCCAATCTCGGGCAGGTTTTGAGGCTGCGATCTAAAAACCCCGATCGGGAGGAGAAAGAGAGAAAGGAGGTGGAGATGGGGGAGAGAGAGAGGAAGTGGATGGTGGAGGGATATGAGGTGGAGGTGGAGAGAGAATGGTCGGCGAGTCTGGTTCTGGGTTCCTTGCATGCTGGGCTTTGTTGGAAGCTAGGGTATTCTCTCAACAACAAAGGGAAATAGGAGAGAGAGGGGGTGGTTGCTGGGTTGGGGTTCTGGGTTCGTTGGGGGTTGGAAGGCGGTGGTCATGGGGGAAGGGGGCGCTGGGTGGTTGCGCTGCTGTGGAGGGTGGCTGTGGTATGGGTTTGAAGGTTGGGTGTTGGAGCTTCATCAGGAGAGGGAGAGGGAGGGAGTCTGGGTGGTTGCCGGCTGGGGTCTTGGTTCGTTTGGAGGTGGGGGTTTTGGAGGATGGCTGCGAGTGGGCATGGTGGAATGAAGGGGAGAAGAAAATCGCAGCGGTTTGGGAGAATTTTTACACAGAGAGAGAGAGAGAGAGAGAGAGAGAGAGAAATTTTTTGATTTTTTGATTTTTTGATTTTTAATATTTTATTCATATTTTAATCAATTTAAAATTAAAAAATTAAAAAATGTGGGACCCACAATGCCACGTAGGCAGTTAATAGAGAGATCTAACAGAAACTCTAACGGCGGAACCACATTGCAAAAAATTTACAAACTAAGGGTATGCGATTGTTAAAATTGAAAAGACAGGGACTAACATGCCTTAAGGGTGTAAGTACAGGGTACTAAATTGTAATTAACCCTATATATATACACACTCAAATAAGGGACACTTTTATAGGGCCCACGCCATATTGTATTTTACTAACCCAAAATGTCTATTTTGTAGATATTCATTCAAAAAGATCATCTCTACAAAAAATTCAATTGAATCCGATATCATTTAACCACTCAATTGAATTATATACTATTTGTCAACCAAATAACAAAACTCAATTTTTCATCTTCCATTATATATTTTCGTAACAAAAGGAAAATTAAGGCGTAGAGTCCTCAATCCTACAAAAAAGAGGCTCAAAATCAGAAGTATGAAAAGTGAAAGAGAACAAGCATTCGGTACCATTTTGTTGCACCTTCAAAGATGTTTGCTTTCCCTTTTTTTTCCTTATGAATTTATTGAGATAAAAATGACTGACCAACCAATATCAATCATCCTTGAAAAAAGTTGGAATAATTTGGGGGATAAGTTTCTTGGGAAATTCAATTGATTTGGGGTGACAATAGCCTCCTCTTTAATGATGCTGAAAACTACATACCCAGCCAAAAATATATAGTTTTCTTCGGATTGTGTGGATTCTAAAGAGGTGCCAAGGGAGAGCTCTTGAAGTTGAGTCAATCTCATATTAAGAGATGCTAGGAAAGCTCATGCAGATGGTGTGAAGAAATCTTGCCCACGTGATCGCAGGGGATTTCCGGCTCTAGAAGCCAACACTGAGATTCAAGCTGGAGAAGAGACCGGGTACTAGG